TAAACTTTGAGTGTTTTGAGAATTTTCATTCCTCCCTTGTTAAGTTAAACGTCTGCACATTTTAATTTCCAATTTTAATGCTCATTAGCTTCTTGATTATTATTATTATCTTTTTATCCATCTCAATTGAGCCATTATACTATTCATTAATCTACTTATATTCTCTAGTTCTCTTTTATGTCATGTAATTTAATCATATCTATTCATTCTGGGAACTCTTCGAATTTTCTACTTGAGTCATAGATGCGGTTCATGTAATATATAATTTTATTTTAATTTTAACTGAATGATGTAAAGCTCATTTCTTGAATATGAGATGCCGTTTGGGATGATTCTTAGTTTTTATTATTTATTTATTTTTAATATTCTTACATAAAAGTGATCCCAAGGAAGTCCTAATGTTTTTTTTTTATTAATATTGCATGTCATTATGTTATCAAAAAATGTTAGTTGCATTGCCTGTTGTCCTCATGCTTGACATTTTCTGCTTGTAAATTCATTACAAACAGTCTGCATCAGTTAATCCACCACCTGCAATCTGTTTCATTCTACTGAATCTGAATTGGTGCAGGAAAGAATATGGAAACAGTGGCGTCGGTGCTGTATCACAACAACTCTACTCCGCACTCACAAGCCTGCAGATGGGTCTTTCAGAGGACAGGCTGGGTTGGACCGTTGTGGTTGACTAGACCAACTCAACAACTTCAAATTCATTTTTACTGCTCTTAACGTATTCCGGAGGACCACCTTTGACCCCAACTTATCATTGGTCTTGTAGCTTTCTCTCTTTCTGCTCTCATTTCACAACCAATGTCATTAGCTTATCTTTTTAATTGTAGATATGCCGGCAACTTTTGAAATTAGGTCAGTTAACCATTAAGAATATTCAATATATATTAATACTTGATTTTTATTGTGATTTGATGTTGAACTTTTAGTTTGTTGATGAGGAACTATCCAAATAGAACTCTTAACAAAATTTATGGTCGAGATGTGTTTCTACGAAGTGAATTCAGCGATGTTAGAATCAAGTGATTCATAGCTTATTCACATCATAAATTTATTGAACCGGAGTAGATGATCAGTTGGCCGGTTGTGAGCCTGGCACACTTACCTAGTTGCGAGTAGTTCAAAACTGCCCTTCGTGTACAATGATATATTTAAAGTCTCCAATTGTGGAAAGAGTACTAATAAGATGAGCTATTGTGGAAGAGCAATTAAGTGTGCTAAAAAAGAGAGAATATTATGTATAGAGTACTTATCACGTACAATATTGATTTAGCTTATTATATAACACGTGTATAATAGTATCTAACAAATTGTACACGAACATTTTTATACGTTGTTATATGATGTGTATAACAATGCATAATAATGTTGTATATGGAATTTGTATGCATACGAATTGTGCTTGTAATAATATTATGCTCAGAAGGCCTCACATTCATTCTCAAGCTGCTTTCTTTTTTGGAACTAGAAATTCTATGTTTTTATTGTAGGGTACACTGCACACATATTTCTTCTTTTCAAAATCATAAAAATTATGCTATTGCTTTTGGTCATAATTTCTCTACCTCATATCATGCAAGGAAATTAATAATAATAATAATAATAATAATCAAGACAAAAACATTTAAATTATGCATTAGCTGAATAAGCTAAATTCAACTTTTGAGTACAAGTCGGTAGGTTTATCAATGAGTGACAATACTTAGATCCCAATAACACATGATTTGACATTTATAGCTACATGAACACCATAATTAGCCTATCAATGAGTACAAGTCGGTAGGTTTATCAATGAGTGAACTAAAAAAATCATCAATTATGTCGATAAGGTATGAAATGACACAGAAATATTCGACTGTGGGGACATTGAGGTGAGTAGGTCCTATTGACTGGGAGAGTGACCTCTTATGAGCTTTTCTAAGGGTATGATAGGTTGTATTAATCCAAGATGAGTTCCTCTTGATGACCCAAACGAACTTTTACCCTCCTGCGTATGACTTTCATACTAATTTTAAATATAGAAAATTTTCACTGATTACCAGCTGAAAAATCAGGGAGTAAATTAGAATACCGACTGATTAATAGTTGATCTATCTCAGCCAGAAAAATCTTTGTTGGAAAAGCAGTGTCGCCTGATTATTTCAGCTGGTCTAGACTATCAATTGATTAATTTAGCTGCTAGAGTTAAATGGTGGATTAGTGGATGAATATTTAGTTGTTAAAATAATTTCGATCGAAAAAGATCAATCGTTAATATTGCGGTTGATTAACAACACCTATTTCATCCCAAAAGTTAGCAGTTGAATTTTTAACTAATTAGCGGTTGAATTTAGCTATTAAAATTTCTGCAGCTAATCAACTGGTAGCCTATAGTAGAAAAAAAGGTCCATATCAAATGAAATTTTACACACCTGCAATTATAAAACAAAATATTAATATTCACATTCATAATATCTCATAACAACGTATAAACAATGAAATTGAATGTGATAATGAGTATAATAGTTATATCATCAAAAATTATATGATCAGTCATGAATC